TACCTCCCATTTTTGTATTTAGCACAACTGTTTTCTTGAGCCGAGAAGTTTTCACGTCGACCTTCATTATCGGTGTGCTTCGGTTGCTAAGCCAAGCTTCAAGCCGAAGATATATTAATGGCCAAACTCTTCTTTAACACTCATTAAGCCATCTTTAAGCCAGAGACTAATTAAGAATACCTTACTTTTTATGAGTCTTTGCAAGAATATTTATCCAACAATGTAGTATCGTGCAAAAGAGTATATTGTCGTGAGACATTCATTTCGTATGAAAGTGCATAAAGAATAAATTCGTAGCTCGATATCACCAGAAGAGGGCGGTTGAATGCCGTTGTACTGCAGCCGTTTGGCTTTACTACGACGTTCAGATTGACAAAACCCAAGAGGCGTCCTCCCTCGCTTCGGGTGAGAACGAGCTGAGCTTTCGCCCATCATGTGTTGGGCGTCATCAGAGCTGGAACTCATCCTCGTAAAAGTCTCACGTGAACACTATGACAACAAGACTATCCGGCTATGCCCTAACTATGAGATGTATTCACCCAATTTCGGTTAAGGTGATGAAGGACTGGTAGAAGAATTTTCCCCCAATGATATGAGTAGAGCTGACGTTTCTATTAAATTTCACATAGCTTTATTTTCCCAAAAGTTGATCTCATCCAGGCACCAATGGACTGCAGTATCGACCTCGTATCGGTCTAGTCAACAACCCCAGCGGGAGTCGAACCGTGACAGTTCATAATGTGAGCATGGTACATTAACCACTCTGCCATGTTGCCTCGAGTGCCTTTTGGTCACAAGGAAGATGTGAATTTCAAGGCGAGGTTTTCGATGAAGCAAACGTGTATTTGCTATAACAATCGACTACGTTACTTTATTTTTCGCATTCAAGTTTTGTTTCGAGACTACCAGTAGATCAGTAATATAAGATGTATTCACCCAATTGCAAAAAATATATCCTAACTAGTCGGATATACCCATAACTAAAAAAGAAAATGAGTGGGAATAGATAGATAAAGGATGGTTTAGCAAATTATATTTCATACTGGCCCTACCAGTTTTGCCTGAATGTCTGTGTATCCACGGGTATTAACGCCTGTATGTAATAGCGATCCTAAATCAGAGTGATCGTCAGCGCGTATGGATGAGATAATGAGATGTAAGCTTGTAAATATGTTACGATACCTTCTCCTTTTAACCTCTCAGTCTAAGGTCAT